CACAATCTCTGCTGTTATCTGAGAAATTATTTCTGATTTCATTTTTTCCAGATCCTCTTTTGTTGCCAGTTCAGGGCGTCCAGGTGGTTGAGTATCAGTGTTCCATCTCATTTCCCTCTGAGGTTGTTGTAGGTGATCTAGAAGTCTGGTTTTGAGGCTTGTTTACATGTCTTCTCATTTCGACAGGGTATTGGGTTGGGGGGGTGTGCTGTTGGTGCCTGTGCAGCTCACCTCCTCTGTGCTGGGAGTGGTGCTATGGTGGCCTGGGAACCTCTCTTGGGAGCTGGGACTGGCTCACCTCCCCTGCACTGGGAGCAGTGCTGTGGCAGCCCAGGAGCCTCCTGTTATTTTGGTTTTTTGACACAGGGTCCCAATATGTAGTCCAGGCTGACTTGAAATCACTATGTAGCCCTGGCTGGACTCAAACTTGCAGTGATCCTCCTGTCTCAGCCACCTGAATGCTGGGATTACAGGCATACATCACCACACCCAACTACTTTTAATGCTACTTAAAATGTGAAGGAGAACAAAAGGACCACAAGCAACTTTAAATAATGTTAATTTCAGACTATGCTTTTTTCAGGTGTATGTGTAGCCTCCTGCTAGGAAACTGAATTGCTGCTCTATACACTGCCAGAGAGTTCACTGAATGGGACCTAGACAATAGTCCAGCAGACTGCAGTTTCAGATGTGACCAAGAGATTGCACACTGATGGCTTTGCTCATAGAGGAGGTTTCTTTGTAGGTTTAGAAAAGGCAAAGAAAAACCTCCAATCTAGGTGACTCACATTTGTCTTCAGAATGGCACAGCTGGGACAGATAATGAAAGCTACTCCCTGTACCCAGGCAGAACCAAGAGCCCAGTGACTGTGGAGACAAAGGGACAGACTGATCACCCAGAGCCTGAGTCAGTGTACACTGACTTCCATGCTACCCTCAGGACTGGAAGGGAGCAACTGGGATGCAAAAGGAGGACAGTGACAGCCTGTGGGCAGCAGCAGTGCCTGAGGAGGACCAAACATTGCAAGTTCTCAGAAACACTGTAGAGACAGATAATACGTGGACACGAAGGACAAGGGGAATGTGCATGGAGACTCACTTACAGCTTCATCACAGGAAGAAGACTGGAGCCTGCTGGGAAAGCCTGGAAAGAAACAGGAGCCCTGCCCTATGTGGTCCTGTAATTCCCTCCACCTTTACTTTTCCTTCTAAAGTTGGGAGACAGCTATTTTGTCACAGCCAGTCCCCAGCCACACACTGGGTCCCTTCTGGCCCTCACCTCCAGAAACAGCAGTCAGTGCTCTACTGTGAGCCTCTCCCCTGCGTGGATTTCATGTCAGGAGGGGTGCAGAAATGAACCCTGGCCTCTGCTCCTGCCTTGCTCCCCCACCAAGCAACCACTGTAGCCTGCTCCCTGACCCTACTTCCTCTCCTGCACCTCCTCATCACAGAGCAGCCTGAGTCCCGAGAATCATGGCTTCAACCTCACCTGCGCTGACCAGTAAAGTCCATGCAGCAAGACCAGTGTGAACAGTGCTGTGTTTTAAATCATGCCAAAACATCAATATAATTAAACTCCCTGGAAGAACATCAGATGAATGAATACCATGATCTCTGCCAGTGGAGAAATTCCAGGTTCTCCAGGAGAGGTGGAGGCTGCTGTGACCTCACTAAAGCCCTTGTCCCTCCCTGCACTTGATCTCCCCACACAATTGGTGGTTTCTCTTTGGCAGCTGTGATTGTGCCACCCCACCTGGCCCCTACTTCTTTGTCACCTCATTCATCTCCAGTGCTCCATGAATTCTCAGATTTGAGGCACCTCTCTCCAGGAGGTCTGTCCTGGTCCCCTGCCCACTTCTGGTCCAAGCTGTATGAGTGCCCTTGTTTGTCCTCAGTATTATAGGCAGCTAAGTTAGGTAGAAATTAATAAAAGGGGCTGTGCCTTCAAGAAGGTCAGTGAAAAGGGCTGGGGATTTAGCTCAGTGGTTTTGCCGCCTGCTGCGCAAGCGCAAGGACCTGAGTTTGATCCCAGGTACCAAAAAAAAAAAAGGTCAGTGAAAGGCAGAGACCTCAGCATTGTGGCTGGAAGTGAACCTAAAGAAGGAAAGGTTGAGATTAAAATTACAATAGCCAGACTTACACACTTCACTAAGGAATGAATGTAAATGTGAGATTATAGTGTAATTGGTACCACCCAGTCCTTTAAGTCCACATATACATCAGACATCTGGTAGGTGACCAGAATATCTAGGTCAATCCCTTCCCCAAAACATTCCTGTTTTAGAAGTCATAGACAAGCCAAAGTTAATGATGTTATCTGTATGCCCTTGCTATGTGCTTTGCTTCCCTACTGGCTCAATATTAGCTAAGTCGCTATATTTGTAATCCTATAGGTTGATTATAGTTTTGTTTTGGCAGAACAGAGCAGCTCTGTGTTATAGCCAAGTGCTATAGCTCGGTGCCACAGCTGAGGCATGGCTAAGTGTTATAGCTCAGGGTCACAGCTAAGTGCCACAGCTCTGAGGCACAGCTGAGCTTTACAGTTCAGTGTGGTGGCTCTGGGTCAGAGCTCTTGTAATTTGAAGACTCAAGAATCTGATGATCAGCTGAAGAGGTAGAGAAAAAAAACCTTTATTACACTGGCAAATGCCAGGTGAGGTCAGAGGAGTCTGAGTGCTCTACCAGAAATGAGAGCCTCCTTATATAGGGATAGGTGAGCATGCTCACTGAAGCAGGGGGGCAGAGTTATAGAACATTCCTGAAGCAGAGGGGTGGAGTTATAGAACATTCCTGAAACACATGCTATGTAAGCATGCTCACTGAAGTGGAGGTGGGGGGTGGGGGGGTGGAGTTACACAACCTTCCTGAGAGGGGAAGGAGCTTAACAGAACCTTCTTGTGAGGAGGCAGAACTTAACAGAACACCATTCAAATAGTCACAAACCATTTTGATACATTGGGCACAAACTGAGTTACAGAACATTCCCAAGAGGGGGTGGAGCTTAAGAGAATCTTCTTGTGAGGAGGCAGAGCTTAACAGAACATTCCTGAAAGGTCACACAGTTGAAACAGCCACAAATCATTTTGATACATTGGGCAGGGGCCCAGCAGCACAAACTTACATTTCCAAAACAAAACATTCTGTGGAAAAAGGAAAATGGAGGCAAGGCCAGGGCCTGTCTTATTGCATAGCACTTCTGTATTTGACCCATACTGGACCCACACTGTACCCACATTTGTGACTTTTCTGTATAAATTACCCCACAAAGGGCCTTGGAAATGGCAACACACTTCCAGGACCCCTTCTGTCTCTAAAGAGCTATTCCTATTCCACAATAACCTTTCTTACCCTTAACCTCCTTTGTCCTTTGGCATTCTTCAATTTCAGAGGACATCTGACATCTAGTAGGTTTGGAGTTATATTTCTCCTATATCATCAGGACACAAGTTTTAAGCTCTTCTGTTGCACTTATCACTCTTAGGCCAGTGCTATTTATGCCAATCTCCCCAAAAAAGCTCTCCATTCCCTGAGGACAGGAATGATCTCAGAGGCCTCAAAACAAGAGGAAAGTAACCCCCACTCTGACTGCTCCTTCTGGCCTCAAGAGGGACCCTTCAGCCTGCATGGTGTGTGGTCACAATGTTTCAGAAGGAAGGGGATAGATCCTGTGGTTTCTTATCCCTTTTCTCTCTAGTCCTACTGTCTGGCTAGACTGGTTTGGATATTGCCATGGTAACCAGCAGCCACAGAAGATGGATTATGACCTACCTCACCATTAGCCACAGCGACTTGAGTGCTAAAGACTCTCTCACATCTCCTGTTTATGCTCCAGGAGTTGGCAGTGAATTTTCTCCCCAATATCTTCCATTTTTTCCCCTTTGGAAGCTTCTGGTGTTGACGGAGACTCTCATATTGGTTCTTCAATCCCATGGTGTCCTCATCCCCTAGCGGCGACCCCTCTGACACAGAGGACTGCAATTCTGAAACCAAATGCATGCTGAGCCTCTCTGGGGGCTGTCTCCCCAGTGAAGAGCCCTCGTCCTGTGAGGACATCATCCTTCCTGAAGACATGACTCCCAGTGTGTGTTCTTCAGGTGACCTCATCTCTGCTATTCAAGGCAGGTGGGGGCCTGAAGGGAACAAGAGATGGCCCAACCTATGAAAGCTACTTCAGGATGACCCACAGCAGATCTACAACCTAGGTATCACTGTGCCCTGGGCTGACGACAATGGCTTTGAAGAATCAACTGCTCATGAAAATCTACATAGAGGCAAAGATGAAACAAAATGTACTGAAGGAAAACTGGATGGTCTTGTGAAACTGCTGAAGACATTTCAGGGCTTTTACATGGATGATGAAGAAATCCAAAAGGAAGACAGTGAAAATCCCCAAAAAACTCGGAGGAAGAAGAAAGATGAGGACCGGGATTGCCTCAAACTTACTCTGGCCGAAGACCTCAGGCTGAGCAGCTGTTCCCCTGCCCAGCTCACTCATCAGGGACATGAGGCATGTCTAGACTCGCCCATGTGCAAACCATCAGGAAACACAGATGTCATCCCAGTCCCAGAGCTGCCTGTGACACTGAAGGGACAGGAACGTGCCGAGGTGAGCAGAGCTGCCTCCCAGAGAGCAAGGGCCAGGCCCAGTGGGGAGCAGGTGAACAGCACGGGGCTGGGAGTGACCTGCTGTGAAGTGGGGCTGGATCCTGGGGGATGCACAAGACTAGCAAGAGGCTAAGACAGCAAGGAAAGGACTCAGGGAGGAGAGGCAGGGAAATACCAAGGGGCACAGGGGAGAGAGGGGAAAAACAAAGGGAAGAGCTATTGTGATGCCAAAAATTGTGTGTGTGAATATTTTCAGTATTTCTGATTACTGAGACTGCACTGAAGTCGCCTTTCTGATGAAAGGATGTGAATCCCATAAAGGAGTAAATATTGACTCCGTTGCTGTTGACGTTATGTGTATCTAACTCATTCTCCCCTTCTCTGCAGACGGCAGTCGAGGGGAGCAGCAGCCACAAGTCAGGGATCACAGAGCCCTCCACCTCCTCAGCACACCCGGAGGATGACGCCCCCAGACCACAGAGAACCTCCTGTCTGCTCGTGGGGCAGGCCTTCCACCGGCTGCTCGAGAGTCCTTTCCAAGAGATGCAGAAGACAGGATCCTGAGCAAGACACCAAGAGCCACCCTCAGCAGGCTCCAAAGAGAAGTCGATGTCTTAGAGGCAAATGGATCCAGCCTGAAGGACCCCTTGAGCAGTTAGGACCACCCCACATCCCCACATTTTCCCACTACGTGCTATCCCATCATCCCAAATACACATAGTTGATATTTCTCAATAAAGCCCATATTCTTGTCCTCTGTGTCTGCCTCTTCCAGCAAGTCACCTTCACTCAGGCTCAGAGTATGCAAGTGGCCCAGAGGACCTCAATTCCCTCTCAGGAAATGTTAGGCAGTGTGAAGCGTCCTAAACGGGAGGCATTCTTTTTCCCTCTCCCCATTCTCACTGCATTTTACCCTATGTTATGGACGTGGATCTATCTTGTCAGACCTCACCTCCCACATCCAGAAGATACCACTGGACCCACCAGATCCAACCAAGGCAGGAAGGTGTGGGCTGAGCTCAGAACCTGAGCACGAGCCAGTGGGGCGGGTCCCTCAGGAGCCTTCAGTTCCTCGGGTTCCCAAAGCCAGACACCAACACTGCTCCTCCTGTTCCCGCAGGACCATGCTGGCTCTAGGATGCAGCTTTGTCACCTGTTCCAGCATGCTGGTGGGTATGAGTGTGTTGGTTGTAAAAAGCAGTCCATTTGGGAGGAATGTGAAGGCTGGGAATCACCTCACCACTCTAGCCTCACTTTCCTGATTCTCAAGATGGGAGAGATGGGAGAGTTAGTAATGCACACTGCACAGGCTACTGGAAGAACTCATGAGATAATGTACCCACTTGTGAATAGCAGTGTTGGCACCATTCGTCATTATCCTAAAGATCTGCCCAGGGACTTGACTCAAAGGCCATGGAACAGAGAGAATTTGTGTCAGCCTCACAGAATTATTTCCCACACTGAAGCAATCTATGGTTACCAAAAGCTAAGGATTTGAGCAGATCTTGATTTAAGCAGGTCCCATCTCACTTCACTGCCCTCTACTTTCTGAAACTCATCCACAAACTGTCACTACAATTGTCTCTAGAGGCCAGCTTCTTTGAGGAAGGCTGTACTTCCTCTCTGGCTCTGACTCTCACTGTCACTGGTCTCAGCTCCCTCCCAGGGCCCTGATCATAGTCACCCACAGGGTCCCCAACAGTACCCACCCTCCAACTTCACCACCAGCCTTTGTCCTGCAGTTTTCTTGGACAAGCAAGAGTCTTCACTTCAAATGTGTTCCTCTGCTCCATTTCCATGTCCTTCCCCTTCCTTCCTCCCTGTCCTCCTCCTACCACAAATATTTAGCACATAGGAGCAGCAGAGTCTGCTCCAGTTTAGCCAAGAGGAGAAAGAGGATGGAGGTGCTGGCTCAGGTGACTTCTTTAAGAGATAAAGCCATGGGGGCCGGGAATTTAGCTCAGTGGTGCTGCCACTTGCCGCTGAAGCTCAAGGTCCCTAGTTTAATCCCTGGTACCAAAAAAAAAAAAAAAAAAGAGAGAGAGATAAGCCACAGAAACTCATGCTTAATAGAACCGAGGACTTGGGATGGCAAACAGTTTTTCCTTTGTTCTAAATGATTAGATTTTTAAAACTAGTAAAACATATGAACAGGTTCCAAAGGGATTGTGAAAGTCAAATATTACTGTTAAAATTCTTTTTTGGGGGGGGTACCAGGGATTGAACTTGGGACCTTGTGCTTTCGAGGCAGGCAGGGGCACCACTGAATAAAATCCCATGCCCTACTGTTAAAATTCTTGTATGTGTGACTGAACTGCTCATAATTAAAAGGGCTCTTTAAAGGGTTTTCTAAAAAGAAAACACAATGATATGGAAGGAAAAATATGTCTAATGTAATGAGATTTTTCTTAAAACAATTATATTTACAAAACTGACAAATGAACAAGGATTTCGTGTTATATTGAGATTATTTCTTGTGTTTCAGTGTTAGACTTTTGACTAGTTAAGGGATTGTGCCTTAATAGAGGCAGTTTTTTTTGTTTTGTTTTTTTTGGTACTGGGGATCAAACTGGGGTCATTGAGCTTGCACAGCAGGCAGTGAAATCACTGAGCTAAATCCCCCGGCCCAACAGAGGCAGTGTTTAAGTTTCAGTTAACTGTAAAGTCTTTTTATCCTGAGTTTCAGTTTACACCCTGGCTCGATGAACCACTTTTATGTTAGGTTATAATAGCATATTTAATAGCCTATGCATTTGGGACTGGAGATGCATGTCCATCTAGGAGTAAATGTGCTGTGAGCCTGCCATTGGTTTAGATACTGACAAGTGCATAGACTTCAAAGCACACGTGGTTAATATATGCATAACAAGCAATACATGTTCATTCAATGCAACATGCACTGTGTCTGGACCATAATCATATAAAATGGTTGACATAACTTTATGCATTTTTATTCAGTACATTAAATAGAAACCATTTAACAACAAATTCATTTGCTAAATCCTGCTACTTAAAACATGGTCTGCACCTTGCCCTCGAAAACAGAAGCTATGTCACTATGTTCAGACTTCTGTGTAGCTGTGGCACTAGTTACTGCTGGCTTCTTTGTACATGAAGTGTGTTTATGTTCCACAAAAACACAGTTCTTGTAGAATACAGTTAGGTAAACTCCTTGCCATACTGGTGTATTACAAGCCAAGACTATTGTAGCAATAGCCTTTTTTGGCCTATGTCATTCTTTGTGGTAAAATGAAGTTTTAAGCATATTTGGGAGAGAGAACAAGGAGAGTCTAATGGTCCTGGTATAATAATGTCAATCGTAACTGTTATGCTAGAAATGCTGAGTACAAGGAAAGTAACCAAGTGTCTTGTCAACTGCTCCACTTTCCTCACAGTTCTGACCACAGCTACTGTAAATCTTTTGTTGCCCACAGCTGTGATTCTTCTTTAACGCATTGCACCCAGTGATAAAAAGGATTCTAACATGTACTCTCAGATACAGTTTTCGCACAAAAGGAGGCCTGTTAAGTATGCTTCTTGTCTCAGAATTATTATACTAACTTGACTGCTTTTGTTCATTAGTTTTCATATGTTCATAGGTTTTCAATTTACATAACAAATAACTAACTCTGAAAAAGCACAAACCTCCTGACAGTAAAATCAAGGGTGTTTTCCACACCAAGTAATTCCTACTGTCCAACAGCAGCTGGGAATTCTATAGTTTAACACAATCCTGACACCCTCCTCTGTTTCCAATACAGTGGACCCTTGAGTTATGACCAGCATGACATACAAACAACTTGGGTTACAGCCAGAATTTTAGTTTTAACTTACAATCAAAGTCTTGAGTTACGACCAGAATGCCGGCCACTTGTGCTTGGTCTCACATACAGATTTAACCGTTAAAGAGTTCTGGAAGGAACATTACAACATCCTTTCCCATGTGGGGATAAGTGAGAAATCCTGGGTCAATGTCTCTCTAAGGACACTGAGATCTGCCTGGAAGAAAGTGTGGCCTAAAATTATATAGGAGAAAGATTTTGAAGGCAATTTACCAACTTGAGTTACAGCCAGCCCCCAGGAACAAATTGAGTTTGGAATTCAAGGGTCCACCATATTATGATGATCCTCACTTCTAACCAAGATGACTGCAAGAGACAGCCAACTACCCATAGCATTTCCAGAAACCTACTCAGATGAAGAAGCACTTCTTTTTTATTCTGAAAAAAAGATGCAAATTCTATCTTGCAAGATAGAACAATTATATTGCAAAAAAGCTTAAAAACTCACTAAGTCATGCAAGAGTAGTCCTGAAAAATGCAGTTAGGCTACAAAAAACTATGTATTGCACAGGCTGATAGCAGAGTCCCTGGTTAATTTAATCTTATGATTAATTCTGTTGTAATATTGTATCAAAAAAGCTTGGGCCAGGGGTTTAGCTCAGTGGGACCACCTTGCCTTGCAAGTGCAAGGTTGAGTTTGATCCCCAGTAAAAAAAAAATTTTATTGATAAATGTAATCCCTACTTCTTTGACATTGTCACACATTTCCTGACATAGTTTCCCCTCCAAAATGATACCAGCAGCTAAAGAGTCATCCACCCAATTTACTCAGTGATAACAAACATACCTTCTGAAGTTATGGAACCTCTGTTTCCTTCTGAGGAACTTAAATTCAGTTTCTTCAGTTTTCTGCAGCTACACACGTGCTGGAGAGCAGTATCAGAGATATCACAACTTTGTAGATACAGAGTTTGGACTTCGGGATGTAAAATCTGTAACAAATGCATGACTTTGAAAAATAAATTTTTCTGTAAATGGAAACATTTATCTCACCATCAGTGATTTGGTGATCCTAACAGAAAAGTGGCTGATGGAAAGTATAGCAAAGAATACAGAAATATACCCATGTGGAGAGAGATCTGTAAAGCCAGAAAAGACCAAGTCTACTTCTGGCTGGAGCTGCAGCATTCAGGTCCTCCCAAGTCCTTATGGGGCACCAAGCACTGCTGAGGTGGCTGTTGCAAAGCGAAGACCCTAAGACCTGAGAGGCATCACCCCTGGGGTGAGTAATTCCCTTGTCCTGCAGCTCACAACTGTCAAGACTCCACTGTGTGCCTCTGTGCTTTGCATGAGGAGTCTTTATCACTTATAGGGGAGCAGTGCTGCTTATCAGGGACATTTACTTTCTTCATCACTGGGGGACCCAGTGCAAACCAACCCTATACCATTCAGTGTGTGTGTTGGGGGGAGGATAAATACAAGTTCATTTTGAAGCATTCTGAACTCTTCCTGGTGGTATTTTTCTTCTTTTATTTTTTTTCCTAATGGAAAAGGTTTTATTTTTCTGAGTATAAAATAATGTACCAATATTGTAAAACATTCAGACAATATACAAAAGTTATAATAAATGATGAAAACAACTATTTCTATGCTGGGGACACCTACCTGGAGGGGTACTAAATGTTATATATATTATTTAATATTCTTTTTCTCTTCTATGCACATATGCATACACCCCTGAAGGACTGTCATTCCTACTTTATAAATAAGGGAAATTGAGGCCCTCAGAGAGCTTAGGAAGCCAGCATGAATTCTTTCTAACATGGTATTGGAACCTAGGTCTTTCTAATTCCAAAGTCTACCCTTCTATTTTACAATTTTAAAATTATTTCTCTTTATTTTTTAGATGGGCATATCATTCTGTTGCCCAGGCTAGTCTCAAAATTCCTGGGCTCAAGAGTTCTCTGGCCTTAGCCTCCCAGTAGTTGGGACTACCAGTGCACACCTCTCCCTTTTTAAGCCAATGCTTTTAACCACTGTAACAGTAATGGTAAATCTTTTAGAAGTGAGTACCCAAACTGCAACCTAAAACCCACTTATTTATTGTAACGAGCCAACACTGCAAACAAACCTGAATACTGAGTTTTCAGTTTAGAAAAAAAAAAACTAATACATTTACATCTTTCATCTTAAAAGAAAAACACAGGACCGGGGGTTTAGCTCAGTGGTTCTGCTGCCTGCCTTACAAGCGTAAGGACCCGAGTTCGATCCCTGGTACCAAAAAAAAAAAAGAAAAACACAGTAACACGTGTCATACATTTGCCACCATTGCACTACAGCTAAATTGCCTATAATATCAATACCCAGAGATAAAATTATTAGTTGTATTAAAAATACTTTTAAGAAAAATGGGATCAGAGTGTTTGTAAGATGAGCACTCTTTACAAAATTAATTGTGGTGCACATTATTCCATTTTATGGCAGTACTGCAAGTCATGAAATGTATCCCACATTGGCAAATGCTTAGGTTGAACACCAGGTTCATTCAGGGTCAGTGTAGCCTCCACAGGCAAACACTTAAATTGGACTTAAACACTTGAATTGATTTCAGGGTGGGTTCTGCAATATGGCATCATGAAGAACTTGTATTCTGCAGGGAGACTGCTGTTTTATCTCTTGTTGCACTATACTCATTATTAACAGTAATCCTCCATTGTAAGAGTTAAAGGTACCTTGCCTATAATACATGCTGTGTATGACTGTTAGTCAGCTCTCCATCACTGTGACACAATACCTGAGAAATACAACTTCCAGGGAGGAAGGTTTACTTAGGCTCACAGTTTTAGGGGCTTTGCTCCATGGTCAGCTGGGTCCACTGTTTCTGGGTCTATGCTGAGCAGGACATCATGGTGAAAGGGTGTGGGGAGCAGGGCTGCTCCCCATGTAGGCAGGTGATGGGGGTAGGGACAAAACAGCCCCTTCTAAGGCCTGGCCCAGTGACCTGTACCCTCTAGTGAGGCCCTGTGTCCTGGAGTCTCCAGTTTGTCCCTAGAGCTCCAGCAGCTGGCACCAAGGCTTTCACACAGGAGCTGCTGGAAGGCTACAGAAACAAACCACAGCAATAGCAGCTTTATTTTCATAAATGATCTGATGAACATATTCTTGTGCTTTTCTATTATTTTCTTCGGGTTTATACTAGTGGTAAAATTGAGTCAACTGCTACAACAGTGAGAATATTTTGAGAATTTTGATAGTTCCTCCTAAATTTTTTTTTTTAACCAATTTATACATTTACCAGCACAGGTTAAAAGAAGAGTTTTCTAAATTATCACCAACACTGGGTACAGCATACCCCAGTGAAGTCTCAGTTCAGAGTGTGGCCTCAGTTGTTCACGGATTTTTCCTTAGAACCTAATAATTGAGAAACCCCTGCAATTTTGCAGAAATCGCAAATCTCATCTGCAATTCTGTTTTGGCAGGTTTGCAGTAGTCAATCCCAGAGCACTGTTCAGTTCTCCTTGCTGCTGATTGGCTGCTGCACTGTAAGCCATCTCTAGAGATGCACCAGCATTCCTGCATTATAACAGGTTGCTGTACCACGAGTAGCTATCTCCAGTGTTTTGTTTTGTTCCTCTTAAAGCCCTAAGATCCCTAAGGTGCCCCCAAAACACCCTGTACCTTCTAAGGCTCTATTAATACAGTATTTTATTAAGTTACATCACATAACTGGGGGAGACAGAACATTTAGGGGTTCAAACTATACAAATAGGCACTTACAGGCATTTTTCTGACCATAGCTGAAATTCTCAAGTTTTTCACAATTCACAGGAGCTCTAAGAAGGTAAACCCTGTGCATTTTGGGGGTTCATGGTATGGTTGTTTCGAGGTATCTGGAAAACTAAAAGGCAAACTGTCACTTTGATTACTTACTAGTGAGGTTAAATATGCTTTCATATGTTATTGGCAATTTTTTCCTTTGAGTATTTCCTGATTCTTCTATATTTTATTTGGTTTATTGTTTTCTTATTGGTTTGTAGAAATTCCTTGTATCTTATTTTTCTCTGCCCCCTGCCCCTAGGGTCTCCATGTATAGTTCAGGCTGGACTTGAACTTGCTATATAGCCTTGCTGGCCTCAATCTCAATATCCTTCTGCCTCAACTTCCAGAATGCTGGGATTACAGCATCACACCTGGCAGGAATTCTTTATACTGTCAAGATAAAATCCTAGATTTTCATATATATATATTGTAAATACTTTTCCAAGCTTATTATTTAACTTCTTTTTTCTTTTCTTCTTTCCAAAAGAAATTTACATTTTTGTGTAATCAAATCCATTCATCTTTTTCTCTTGGACTTCCAACTTTGGTGTAACATTTCAAAAGGCCTTCTCCACCTACAGAGTATAAAAAGATTTAGAAATATTTCAAAACCATCTGTCCAAAGATGTGTATAACTCTAGCAAAGATGTTATATTTTACTTTTTTTAATGATTCCACAAGCAGTTCTCTTGTAAGATAGAGATTTATTGAAAGCAACAAGGAAAACTGTGCCTTGTTTTTCTAACTCATTCATCCTCTTTATCCCTTTTCGCTCAGGTAAAATTAGGTTTCAATAAATACTACAGATTGTTAAAAATAAAAATTTAAGTCACTGAAGTATAATCTAAAGAGACAGAAAGAAATGAAGATGGTAGAGCAGTGAAAGCCACCAGGTTGCTGAACTGTCCTACTGTTTCACCTGAGTCACACATTCTCATGTATCTGTCCACAGAATTATCAACAGTAAGAACCTGGAAACGCTATTCTGCCTCTGTAGAATGATGAAGGCTCCACCCCTAAGAAGCCTAAGATGGAGTACAAGGTAATGTGAGGGAAGCAAAGGCACACAAGGCCAGTGCAGAGAAAACTGACACACGGGCACATTGTGATGCAGTCAGTCTCATCACATTCTGGAGTGCTGTCATCACAGCTTGCTTCTTGCCAATCATATTTCAAGCAAATGTGAGGTGAAGGCAGGGCCATTTGCAGCTCTAGTTTTTGTAGGCAGTATGATGGTGATGGCTGCAAACTCCAAATTCATGTTTAAAGTAAGTATTATAGAAGCTATTAAGTAGCATTTTCAGTTTTTGAAACAAAAATAGCAAAAATACAGAAGATAACACAGGACTATTAAGGAGAATTATTTACTGTGCATTTAACAAATTTAGGCAATGAGGTGTGAACCCCTGATTGGAGGGCAAAAGCAGGAATGATTAGTATTTTCTGGTGCCTGGGGCTCTCTGCCTGAGAGCTCAGCACTCCAGGCCTCCGTCTCCTCATCAGCTCAACAGGGCTGATACAGACCCAGGCCTGGGCCTTGAGACAGACCACTTGCCACTACCAAAGAGAGTGTACAGGAGACATAAGGACACATCTGGAGGACACAAACATCGGGAGGCCACTGGAACAAAGAATCTGGAGAACACAACTATTTCAAAAGAAGAACAAACTGGATTCCTGATTTCAGAGCAGCAGAATTAGAACACAGGGACCAAAGATATTAATAAGGGTAGTAATCTGCTAAAAGAAATAGATGGAAATATTATAAGATGAACAAGAAACCATAAAAAGGGAAACTGGAAATACATATAGGAAGAAAACTATTGAAAAAGAACCATATAAATGAGCTAAAAAGACTGAGGAACCAATCAGCCAGTTAGGGAAGGCACACCCAAGTCTCCCTCCCTCCAGACCCAATCCTTAGAAGTTTGTCTTTGTTCCTGTCTATTCCATCTCTGGATTAGCTAATTCTTGTATCTTAAAGATTAACTGCACAGCAAAGTTAGCTAGGAATGCCTAAGTCCTCCCTTCCCCATCACTCCTGAGTCTCAAGTTATAGAAGAAAGTTACACTTGGGGGGCCGGGGATCTAGCTCAGTGGTTCCAGCACCTGCCTCAGAAGTGCAAGGTCCAGTGTTCAAACTCCAGTACTCTCCCCAAAAAACCACAAAAAAAACCAAAGAAAGTTACACTTGGAAGGAAGAGTGTTTGTTATATAGGCTGACTACAAAACAAAAACAGATGCAAGTCACTTTAACCAAAAATACTTTGATCATGTTTCTCTTCTTCGGATCCACTGAACTGCAACTCTTGCCAACTATGTGAACAAGACAAGATGTGTACAGCTGACAGCTCAGAAAAGGTGAGTTTCTCAGAACCCACATGACCAAGGCATTGCCCACATATTTTTCCTTGAAAGATCTTGTAAAAGACTGTCCCTCAGGGGAAGTGTGTCAAGACATCCCTAGAGGTGACAGGTGCCTTCTTCTATGCTCCGGTTTGCTAAGAAATCACCTTCTTTTCCCAACACTCTGCCTGAGTCACTGGGTCCACTGGGTGATAATGGAACAGAATCTTGTGTGGTTACATTAGAAGAACATGCGAAGAAGGAAGAGAAGATATAGAGAAGTTAAGAGATATATAAGATTACAAGAGGAGTGCTAACATATGGATAGTAGTCTCAGAAAAGTAAAATTAGAAATGGAGAGGTGGGAGTTGCACACAGGGGTGCATACTTGTAATCCCAGCTACTAGGGAGACTGAGGCAGGCAGTTTGGGAGCTGGAAACCAACCTGGGCAACTTAGTGAGACACCCTATCTCAAGAAATATGGAAAGAAATGGAGAGGTAGAAATAGTAGTGGGAAAAAATTTCTCAGAAGATGAAAAATTTTCATATTGAAAGGGCTGTTAGGGTCAAAAAACCATGATTCTTCTTTTGGATAAATACAAAAATTCATGAATTCCTTTTTTTTTGGTACCAGGAATCAAACTTGGGCCCTTGTGCTTGTGAGGCAGGTGCCAGAACCACTGAGCTAAATCCCTGGCCCCGTGAATTCCTTTCTTATTGTGTGAGGCTGCATATGTGTATGTTGTGTGTGTGTGCTTTGTTATTTTAGAAAGAAACTTTAACACCTTTACCCTTTGGATGGCATGTTGCTATTTATAGATTAATTTTACTCGCCTGTCTTAATTTTTGAACATCAAGTGATAACCAACAAAAGAATTCATTTCTTGTTTTCTAAAATCAAGGAACTTATTTCCCATGTCTCTTATTCCTTTTTGTTTTGCTTTGTTTTTGTTTGTTTGCTTTTTGAGACAGGATCTCAGTATGTAGTGGCTGGCCTTGAACTCACTATGTAGCTCAGACTGGCCTCAAATTCACAGTGATCCTCCTGCCTCAGCCTCCCTAGTGCTGGGATTATAGGCGTGCACCACCATGCCTGGATTTTGCTTTTTTTTGGTACTGGGGATCAGGGATCGAACTCAGGACCTTGTGCTTGCAAGGCAGGTGGCAGAACCACTGAGCTAAATCCCTGGCCAAATAAGTAAAGTAGCCTATATATTGAGAAGCTTAATTATGAATTTTTTTCATTATCAAGGACTGAAAAATAATTCTTTCTTTAGTCTGAGCACTTGTTAAGGAAAACTATACACACTTTGGAAATAAGTATGAAAAGATCACACCACCTTTAGTATCCTATTTTCCCCAAAAATAGACCTACCCAGAAATAAGCCCTAGGACGATTTTTCAGGAAGCTTGTAATATAAGCCCTACCCCCAAAACAAGTCCCAGTTAAGATTGTCAGCCAGACAGAAACAGTGCATTTGCTGTGACATACAACAGATGTACTGAATTACAAAATATTAATATAAGAAGTACTCATTTAAGGACAGCTCTATTGCTGGATATGGGAGATTGGTGCCAATGGTTCTACAGGAAATCAAGTCACACAAAATTCGGGCCAGAACTCAGGGTTTGGAGAGTTATGAACATGTTCCAGAAGATGACATGACTGTATTTGAATAAATGTAGCTTTTTTCATACATAAATGCAGATTTTTGTATGTGACTAAATGAATAAATATAGACTTGTACATGAAAAATAGGACATTCTTATTGCATTTTTCAGAGCAAAAATTAATGTAAGACTGGGTTTTATTTTCAGGGAAATATGGTATCAGGTAGGGCACTGGCTGAGACACCTGCTAGAATGTTTTCTAGGTCTGCCATTTCAACACACCAGTAACACTGGCTTAAAACAGCAGAACTTGATTTTTTTGAGTGGTAGAGGCTAGAAATCCAAAAGCAAGGTGCTGGCAGGTAGCTTGTTTCAGAGAACTCTGAGGGAGGACCAGCACAGTGTCTTACTCACAGCAAAGGGCCAGCAACCCTGGCCAGCAGGTATGACACTCCATGCTCCACCTCTACCTCCTCAGAGACTCTGTCTTTTCCTGGTCCTCACAAGGACAAGGGTCATACTGGATCTGGGCCACTCTGCTCCAGTGTGACCTCATCATAACTAATGACATCTGGAAAGGCCCTATTTCACACAGATACAGTTCCACTAAGCTACATCCCTGGCCCTAAAGGTAAGTATAGGTCCTATTTCAAAATAAAGCCACACTCTGAGATACCGAAGGATGGGACCTCAATATTTTAGGGTGGCAGGAGGGAGTACAATTCAACCCAGAATGCCACTTAATGGTCAACTGCTTATCTAGGGAAATGGAATACTGTTTATTCTCCTGTTTGCTATTAATTGAAGCAAAAAATCTAATTATCATTATCTAAAGTAAGATGCTAATTGTAGAAAAGTGACAAATGAAAATGCTCCCCCCATATATATAAATATTTCTGTTCAGTAGAGATGACAGCCTTAGTGGATAGCTTTATTGTCCTAGGAGATATTCTCCAATTTTGTGTCTAATTTAGTAAATTACCTCAGCTTCTTTCTTTCATGTCAAGTTTGCATATGTATAGATACAGAAGGGATCAGTTTCTTGGATACTCTTTTGGACTAGTTTTGAGTTTATATGTTCTTTTACTCATGAGTTGTTTAAACCTTTGGCACTTGTATACTATTTCTGTAAGAACTATATTTTAAAAATATTTTTAGAATTACATTTTAACACACTGAAAACTCAGAGAAAAAGGATAACTTTTACAAATCATTCACAAAGTTGGTTATTTAGTAAATATAAGTAGTATGAAAGCTTGGAAGAAAACTACCAATCTTGCATTGCTTCAACACTAGGCCACCTCCCTCCATTAGCCTAATTTCTTACCTGCCCTTGAACTGAGAACCAAGTTTTTCCCACTGATCAAGCTGTGCTCTCTCTTTTAAGCTCAGTGATTTTCTAAACCAAATATTCGCTGCTGTGAAACACTGGAATCCTCATAAAACCCCTTAAAGTGGCTACTTTTACCTCCTACTTTACAGTTCAGAGAACTGAGGCTCCATGTCAGAAAGAGTGGCAAAGCTAGAATATTAGTTTGCTACACTTAATGCTTCATGGAAAAGCCAATGAAAGGCAGAGATATGCAGAAGTTAGGGTGGTTATAGGGAAAGGGAGTAGATACAAACCAGCAGGAAGGAATGAGTCATCCCAAAGAATGGGTCTAGTTTAGAAAAGTGACTTCAACTGCTAATTGTTCTGCATAAGTACATTATAAAATCAATTTAATAGGCTATGGTCAACATTTTAAAAGATGGAAATAAGATAAAAATAGAATAAAATAGTGTAGAAAATACCGAGGTACACAGCATGCAGCATTGCACAGAAATGTGTGATTTACATATTAGTCATGATGAAACATCTATTCTTTATTTCAAAAAGTTTATAAATTTTTGAAAACATGGACATGAAGGTGCTAGTACCATGAAGACAAGGGAAGTAACTGAAGGAATGGTGGGAGAAGTGTTTTTTAGGAATTATTACATATGTGAAGCAGGACTTAAAGAAAAACAAGTTTTTCTTAGCCTTGGGCAGTTCCCCCCACTCCGATTACCCCCCTCCCTTCTCTGTAGCTGTAACTCCTGGTTCTGGTAGATAAAATTGGCAACTATGTCCTGTAAACAAAGTTCATGTCATCTTGTATTCACAAGATTCACAAGGTTCTGTCTTCTTACAAGGCTAAATTATAAAACTGCCCTTGTCCTGTTTCTGTAAACTTGCTTGCTACATCACTAAAAAGACCAACCCTTTTGACCAAATGTATAAAAACTAAAACTTTTCTTTGTTCAAAGCTCTTCCATTGGACATTAGTCCATTGAACTACTGTTCACCTAAAACCTGAAATAAAATCCTCTTGTTTCCCAGTGGTGTCTTGTGTCTCTTAAATCTCACCAACATATGGACATTTTCATTATCTGGAGAAAAAAAAAATTTCTAGATGATTTGTATTTTAAAATGATTCCTAATTCTGTACTATCATTTTTTTTTTTTTTTTAATTTTTGGCACCAGGGATCAAACTCAGGACCTTGCACTTGAGAGGCAGGCGGTGGTACCACTGAACTAAATCCCCAGCCATGATTCCTAATTCTACTACGTCTTTGCTCAAAAAAACTAAAGCCATATTTAAACAGTAAAATACAAATCCATGGACACACTATAATCTGAGCACTTGGGAAGTTGAGGCAGGTGGACTGTAAGTTCAAAATAGCCTGGACTACAGAGCAAGACCTTGTCTGAAAAACAAAAACAACTCAAAAGACATATGCTTGCTTTGCAGTTATATACTCTTTTGGTACTGGTGATCGAACTCGGGTCCTTGCACTTGTGAGGCAGGCGCCGGAACCACTGAGCTAAATCCCCGGGCCTGCAGTTATATATTCTTACCTCATTTATATTTGAATCTGTTATCCGTCCCTTGACACTCATTATTTTAATCAGTCCATCTTTTATGTTAGGAGGCAAAGGCTTAATGTCTGTGATGTACCTGGAAATAGTCTCCACAATGTACCAAAGGCATCTGAAACACAAACACAATACAGTAATTACACTGTGCTGTACTGTTTTCTAATGCTTATCAATGCTTCTTCTTAGCATGTAGGCCTTCCACAAAACAGTATGCATATTTTTACTTACATTTACAAATTTGGCTTGGTTCAAATCCTAGTCTATGTACAGTTACAGATGAGATGTTTTTCCTCCACATTTTTCCCAGAATATCTCATTTATCAAAATGTATCCCAAATGACCAAAAGAGTATCTTTCCTAAGTCAGTCTCTCTCATTCCTAAGACACAGCACCAAGATTTCAGTCTCATACTCCTAGATAAACATTAAACTGGGGCCCACTAATTGAAAAACTTTATCTAATAAAACAAGCTTGCTTCACTATTTTTCTTTAAAATTACCTAAGTTAGCCAGATATAGTGTTACATATCTGTAATTCTAACTACTTGGAAGGCTGAAACAGGAGGATTGCAAAGATAACCTGGTCAACTTAGCAAGACCCTATCTCAAAAAATAAATGAAAAGCACTGGGGATGTAGCTTTGTGGTAGAATGTTTGACTAGCATGCATGATGCCCTGAGTTTGATCCCCAGGATGGTAAAGGAAAAAAAACTAGGTTAAAAACATTATGTGAGTGATGAAATCACTAGAGAAAGAAATGTAGCCCAGGGATTGCACAGAGAGTACAAATCATCAAGACACTTGAACATGTGTAATGTGATCATAGCAGGCAACAACCAAGACCCAGAAGGAGCTGTACTGGCTCCTATGGGGTATTACAGGTGAACCCAGATGGATACCTGCTACTAGAGACTGAGCTGTCGAGAGCCATCCTACATTAATTTTAGGGAAAAATAATTTCATAATTAAAGTATGACTACAGCTAAGGCTCAATGTTACCTTGCCTGCGAGCTGGCTATGGAATGTGGAAACAACTCCGTTTTGCCTCTGGTCACAAGTTGAGGTCTCAATGCTCCTGTGATACTGTACACTCAAGGGCAAGAATGTATCAGCTGAAAACATCCTGGTTCTTTGAGAATCAAGTAGTAATTTTAAAAAAAAGGAAAGGTTTCACCTGGGTGAAGGACAAGATTTTTTATTAGCCTGCTATCTTGGCCCACATACCATTGTAGGAATGCTCTCCTTCCTTAACACCTTCCTCAACATAAGATCCTTATGATCTAAGATCCTCATCAGCATAAGAATCTTCATCAACACAGGATTACTGCCACCCCTAAGTCACCTGATACTTTCTCCAATTATTGTGTGTACCCAATAAATAATGGCTAGCTCAGATTGTCTTTGTCTTTGCTCACTTTGAGGCACTGACATCCTGGTCTCCCATATACTTTGAAATTATACAAGTCTCTGTGGTCTTTTTTTTCTTTAGCCTCCACTGTCCCTCTTCCTAGGCAGCTGGAGACCTGATCACCCTCTGATACTGAATGTCTGTGTCCCCCACCCCCAAATTCATGTCAAAATCCTGAATGTGCTAGTATTAGGAGGTGGAGCCAGGAGGTAATTAGGTGGAGCACATAGGAATGGGATTAGTGCCCTGCTATGGCTTATATCTAAATGTTCCCCCAAAGCTTCATGCAGTTAAGGTGGAGATTTTGAAGGTGACTGCAAAAGGGTGCATGAATGTGGATTAAGAGTGTGATACTGAGAGTAAGGGTGTGGATGATGGAAGCCCTACTCTGGGTGTGGATGGCACCAATCAATAGGGTTGTAGCCTGGACGGAATATAAGGGAGAGAGGGAAGGCATCTGCTGGTGCTTGCTGCCTTCTGCCTGCCTCACTTCACCATGGACTGTTTTTCCCCTGTAATGCCCTTCTGCAATACCACCCTGCTTTGGAACCAGCCAACTATGGACTGAATGAAACCTCTACAAACTGTGAGCAAAAATAAACCTCTCCTCCCTTAACTTGTGGGTGTCAGGTGTTTTGTCTAAGCAACTAGAAAAGTAACTAAGACATACCTTTATCAAAATGACTCTCAGGATGAGCCAGAGATTTAGCTCAGTGGTGCTGCCGCCTGTCTCGAAAGTGCAAGGTCCTGAGTTCAATTCCCCATACCAACAAAAACAAAACAAACTGACTCTCAGGACACCTTTTGCTCTATTACAAGAGGATACAATAAGTCGGCTACCTGGAACATAGAAGAGACCCTCACCCAGACGTGAAGACCTGAACATGCTGGCAAGCAGATCTTAAGCTTCCAGAATGCAAGTTTATGAGAAATGACTTTCTACAGTTTCTAAGCCACAGTCTGGGGCACAGTGTTCTACCAGTGCCTAAGACACTTACCAATGCAGTGGGCTGTTATAGAAGAGGAACCACTGCTTCTGTAAGAAGTTGAAGGAAGTTTGTCTTTTGTTCAGAGGGAGACAGTACTTCCATCTCTGAAGACTGCCCACACAACTTTGAGAATTGGCCTAGACAAAGAATAAGAATGTGCAGGTCCATGGCAGAGTATCTCTTCCAACTCTGCCTGACATCATCTTGTCTGAACACAAATATTTATTAAGTATGCCACTGTGTCAGCTGTCAGGAGCAATGCTACATAATTTTAGGGAAAAAATCACTTGGTTAGGCCTGGTTCTCCTGCCTACAGCCCAGCTATGGCATTCCAGGACATAATTCCATTTTGGCCTCCGGTCACAACTGAGACCTCAATGATCCGGTGATGCTGTGATTCTCCAGGACAAGATTACACCAGCAGGAGACATTCTGGGAGGAACCAAATCTTCATCTGGATAGTTCCTCATTGTTCTTGGATTTCTGCTGCACCTCGTCTTTTGTTACACCTTCTTTATCCCAATGTGAGGTACTGAACCCTCTGCATTTTCATTTGTTACACTTGTTTCTTCTGATGTACTGAATAAAAGGTGCTGCAAGCTCCGGGTCTTTTGTCTTTGCTGCCCAGAGCAGCCCTGATCAGGCTCAAAGCTCAGCTTCTCCAAGTCTCATTTTTTCTACCTTTCCTGTATAATTTAATTCGCCTTGTGCTGTCATGGCTCACAGGAGACTAGGATTTACTGCAGAGGTTCTAGTAATGTCCCCTTTCCCTGTTCCCTACAGTCAGCTGCTTGAATTTAACCAATGGGTTGAAACCAAATCTGTTCAATTTGTCTCTTACAGCATTTTGATAAGGTTGTTTTTCCTCCAAGCAGCAGAAGGCCAACCTGCACTAATGAGATCAGTGTTTACACCAGGGTCCTAAACAGGAATAAGTCTGGGATGGGAGTGGGACCAGTAGTTCTCATTTCAGACAGACAGGATGTAATCAACTTTCTTCTTTTTTTAGATTGTTTAGCTATTTTAGGTCTACTTCATTTTTATATAAATTTTAGGATCAGCTTGTCAATTTCTGCAAAAGTCAGCTGGGATTCTGAGAGGATTATGTTAGATCTGTAGATCAATTTACAGGTTATTATCATCTGTTACAGGACGAATTGTCTCAGAATGCACATGGACATTCTAACCCCTAGTAATCTAAAATGTGACTATGTTTGGAGATACAACCTTTAAAGATATGATTAAATTAAAAAGAGGCTTTAGAATGGGCTCTAATCCTATCTGACTGGTGTTTATACAAGAGGACAACTGAACTCACAGAGATCAAGGATGCATATGAACAGAAGGAAGGCTGTATGGGTTGGGGATTTAGCTCAGTGGTTCCAGCACCTGCTTTGTAAGTGCAAGGTCCTGAGTTTAATCCCCGGTACCAAAA